CTGCAAACTGCCACTAAACAATATTAAATTCTGTTTATGAAGAAGTCAGGAAGGTTTTCCATTTAAATTTCATATTATTATCCCTAGATCAGTGATTCTTAACTCTATCAGATTCACTGTTCACTTGTTATAGCAAGTATTTTGTGATGTTGTCTTTATCCTATCCTGAAACAAAATTCACACATCAGTGTGTGTATGTCTATATCTATATGTCTATATAATGTACATTTATACGTTACCCTCACACATGAGTTAGAATTAACTATAGTACCTTAAGTATTATAGATGAGACATATTGAGGAAAGTAACTTAGAATAAAATAATGTGCATTGCAATGTGTAAATGCTCAAGCATGACTACCCTAGAAGACACAGCGAGGTACTCAGGTACTCACACCTGTATATATGGCATCACCATGTGACTGCGGTGTATCCATGCAGGTTGACAAGGGTGTGCTTCTTTGTGATAAGTGTTGTCACTGGTCACATGATTTTCCAAAAAGGGAAAACAACCTTGGTAACATTCCAAACAAAACAAAATAAAATGCAGTCTTCATCTGTTTATTCGGTAACTTCATTTCTAGAAATTCAGTGTATGCTAAAAGTGTGCAGACATGCTTTATGCTTTTGTGCAGACCAGATTTAAGATTCAGGCTTGGATAATGGTTTCGCCCACGTGAATGTCCGGCGGTGTGTGCTTCACTGCGTGGGAATATCCCTCTGTGCTAAGATGTTCAACATACGTACACGCTCCTTTCTGCTTCCTCTCTCCCCAGGGCGGGGGGAGGGGGAGCGCTGAACCTCAGCAGCAGCCTATGGTTACTGTGGTAACTCAAAACACCCTCCTGACTTTCCTAAGTGCCTGGCGGGGGAGGGGCAGGGGGCAGCCTTACTGAGAACACCAGCCTGCAGGAGACGTCGGGGGGGGCGGGGGAAGTTCTGACAGCCTGGCGTGTGTGTCTCCCGGAAGGCGTCGTGGCCCATTCCGATGATGATCCTTCTCGTCGGGCACATGGAGTAAACGCAGTCTGAGAGGCCATCTTCACGCCGTAGTACACGTCCGAACACAGCATGTGCCTTGGCGTGAAGAGTGTAAACCTGCTGTTCGTTCTTCGGGGCATATGGTCCTAACTGGGGATCTGAGTGCTCCGTGCGAGTACACAACACGCATGTGTGTTCTTCCTTGTCAGATGGTCAGCAGTTCAGAGTAGTAGATCCTTAAAGGCGCTCCTGAGGTCATGATGAAGGCTGACAAGGGTGGAAGGAGTCCGTTCTCTCTCTGTGAGCCTTGGGGCTCGGTGGCCCCCCTGAGGTTGACTGAGACGAGAGTGGCCTTAAATTCGTTCCTTTTTGACAAGAAGGTGGGGGGATTAAAGTCCTGTAACTGAGGAAATCCATTTTGGATGATTAAGATTTCTTGAAACCATGGCATTAAAACTCAGAAAAGCTAACATATTGTCATCGAGTCTTTATCCTGCCACTTTCCAGGAGAATTTTAATTATTGGGTAGAGCTTTCCAGAATATCTGTTTTGACAAACAAGCTTTAAAAAAAATAAGCATCACATATTGTAATCAAGTCTGACACTTAAAAACAGGAAAAGAAGGTGACAGACTTTTTTCTTCAACCCTACCCTCCCTTCCATTGGTCCCCGTATATATGACCATAGTTAGCGCCCTGTGGAAATGGCTTTTCCACAGGGAGCTGGTAGCAGAGGCGGTAGCATTGGGACAGATTTTACTTAATCGATGCAGCCTTCCTTTTGCTTGTTATTCTAAGAGGTTTTCAGAAAAATCTTTGTCTCCTAATAAATATGTTATGAAAAAAGCATTAGCACATAATCTTTTTCTCCTCTTGGAAAATGCCAAAAATGCCAATAACATTCTTGTTTTTTTAATCCTCACCCAAAGTCGTGCTCATTGGTTTTTAGAGGGAGGCTGAGAGACAAACATCGATCAGTTGCCTCTCTTGTGAGCCCTGGCCTGGACCAAACCCTCCACCTAGGCCTGTGCCCTGACCGGCAGTTGAACCCCCAACGTTTTGGTCTGCGAGACACTACTGTAACCAACTGGGTCACATTGGCCAGGGTAGAAAATGCCAGTCATATTCTTGAATGCTTGATATGGTATCTCATATGGTATTTCCCCAGGTAGTCTTTAGAATACATATACCCCTTATCTGTCTGCAACTTTCCGTGTCCTAAGTATTCGGGAGTCGGTTCAGGATTCTTCTTCTATTATTCTTCCTATTTCCTTTTTATTTGCCACCTAAAATTAATGTTTACCTGATAATACAGTTTCCACTATATTGAGTTGGAAAATTCTAAATGCTTTTCATCAGTTTTTGCTGAGACAGAAGGTGTATGTCCTTTTCTAACATATAATCTGAATGGTGTGCTAACACATGCTTTCAGTGGGAATATCACAGGGAAAGCAGTTAATGGGGACTTCTTATCAGGCTGGCACTGAGGTTTCTGTAAGTTAGACAAAATTAAACTTTCTCAACCAAATCCCCTAAATGATTAGGTTATGTTGGAGATGGGTTAAAATTAGGTCAGCCAGAAAGGCCTAATCAGATAATAAACGAAAGGCTAATTAGTGTGCTGCTTCTGCTTCGGAATTTAAGCAGCGTAAAGGATTTGCGCACGACGGACCTTTTGACTTTGGCGTTGACTTCCCAAGGACAATTGCAGGCAGCAGCTAGTTCCTCCGTGAGCTAAATTCAGCTCCTTCCTGCGCTTGCTTTGAGAAATAATCATCCTTGCCAGATTTCAGTTTTTGAGTTGAGTGTTTTCAGATCAGTGAAAATTATTGCCCAGTCCTGATGGCTGTGTGTCGCTCGCTCAGAGTCGCAGGAAGCGTTCGGGAGAGCTGGGCTGTTCTGCGGGCACCTCCTCACCGCAGGGCAGCCGGCGGGCGAGACCGAGCAGTGCGCGCCGTGCCGTGCCGCGCTTGGTCCAGAGGTCCCAGACTCCAGAGCTCACGGCACTGACTTGACCACTGACTTGGAGAGAACAGTGTTTTCTTCATTGTTTCATTTTTTTTTATCATTAATACGACGAAAAAGAATGATCTTAAGTTCCTTTCACTTCCCTGATTTTAACATGTTTTTCCCCCCCTTTTGGTCAAGTTAGTTACTTGTCCTAATTAACCTCATGCATTTACCTTTGAATTTTTTACTGATTTTTTCAGGAAAAGTCACATGAGTATGGAAAATGCAGCACCTAGGAGGATGTGTGACGGAAGTCCGCTTCCTACCCCAGACCCCCCCTCCCACCACTTCCTCGGGCCTTTCTCCCAGGGCGAATTGCTGTCGCCACTGCATCATTCAGAAATGTTCCGTGCATAAAAGTACATATGTGTGCACGTGTGTCCCCCTTTCAAAACATTTAATTACTTAATTTTTAAATCACATTTTATGTTTATATGTATTTTAACATTGGCATTCGTTTGAAATGAATTATACATTAATAACTAAGATTATTTAATGATACCTAAATTATTTAATTCATGCAATTTATTTTGCTAGACCATTATTATTCTTTGATCTTCATTAGAAAGAAATTTATGCTCAGTTAGTATTTTTCTTCCATTTTAAAGGTGGTGCGGAGGTATATGGTGTTTCTGAACTTTTACTTTTTCAAACAACAGTAGTAATGGTGATAGTACTATTACTACTATTAGAGAAAGAAGGAGAGAAACATCAGTGTGCAAGAGATATATCAATCAGTTACCTCTTGCACTCCCCCAGCTGGGGACCTGGCCCCCAACCTAGGTATGTGCCTGGTATGTGACTGGGAATTGAACTTGCAACCTTTTGGTTTGCAGGCCAGCACTCAATCCACTGAGTGACACCAGCCAGGGCATACTTTTAATTCTGTCATAAATAAAATAAATCCATGCCATTGAACCAAGATGAGCAAATGCATTGCATAGATGTCACCATTCTCCTGGCTTCTGCACTCCTGGCTGACACTGCATTAATGATCCCTCACAGTTCTCTTTTCCCTGAGTAGACTTAGCCTCAGAGTCTTTCTTCATACGTGTTTTGGACAGCTGGTGCCAACTCCTGGGGGTTGTAACCATACAGTAGTAAACCCTATATAATATTAAACCATATATATTAGTTGTAATTTTAAAGGCCTATTTGGGGGGTTCTATCTGTGCCAGGGGTGTCCAGCCTGCAGCCCACGGGCTGCATGCGGCCCAGGATGGCTATGAATGCGACTCCACACAAAATCTCAAATTTACTTAAAACATGATGAGATTTTTTTTTGTGATTACGTGTCACAATGTATTTAATGTGTGGCCCACAGATGCCAAAAAGTTGGACACTGCTGGTAGACCTACATATTGAAAACCAAACTAAACTTTGCTATCTCTAGAATCTCCTTCATCTGAATTTCCTTCAATATTTTAAAGGGACAGTGGACAGCATGAGTAGTTGAGAGAAAAGGAGTGTCATGAATGCACGGTGTGATACTACTTGAAAATTTATCAAAATGTCTGTGTTATTGGAAAAAACATACAACACATGAGTTATGTCTTCGGAAGCGGATACCTTCAAACAGTACCAATAGTGTTTCATGTGACCTTCTTAACTTTTGGTAATATTATATCCAGGTCAGTGTTATTTGGGATTCAGTGATTATGCTATGATCTCAAATTACATCTAATGTTGATTCATATATCTTGAAGCTTAATTTTTAATACTTTGTGTATTTCACTCATTCATTCACCTACCATGTTGCAGAGACTATGGTATATCCTGAGGTTGTAATGGTGAGCAGGAATGGACAAGGAGCTAAGAGGTTAGTTAGTTATACAGATGATGCATGTACGAATATAAACTGCACATTTATACATATGTATACTTACATGTACTACTAACAATCTATTCTGTTCTCATATATTTTCTGTGAGAGAGAAAATCTTTTGTTGAACATAATGGATAATTTTTGAGATTGCTTTGCCACCCTTAATCTCAATTTCTCTTTTTCCAGTGGAAGCCAAAATCTTGGTTGAGCTGTCAGAAGAAATGGTGAACAGGTGGCCACCTACAAGTTCTTTGTATGTTTAATTACAGTTAACTACATCACCTCTGTCTGCGCTGTCACTTCCCATTTCTGGCGCTTCCTCGTGGCCTGATGGCGTTCTAAATCTTTCCAAGGCGCTGCTTGGAAAGTCCGCACCTGCGTGATGTGTAGTAGTTCCGACCCCTTGAACAGAGATCGTAATTAAAAGGGAACCTGGAAAATTAAAGATGGTGCGGAGAGAAATTGCTCTTGTTCATCAAGGGGTATTGTGTGGAATAGTGTGCTAACTTTTTCAATTTATGAATTCTAAAGAACCCAACAATCCTACTAAAATAAAATTCAACTATTTAATTATACTTTTGCATTATTGATTTTGTGGCTTATAGAGTTTTTTAATGTTTTACTTTCACCTAGCCACACTCTATTTGTAATGCCTTAAGTGTATCGCTACCTATCACATACTACTGTATTTTTCAGACTGTAAGATGCACCCCCCCCCATTTTGGGAGGAATAATGGTTGTTAATGCTGCTGTTGAGTTCTGTTTACATTTATATTAGCGACATATTATGTCATTTATGTTATTAACTATTTTACCACATTTTTTGCTTCAAAATTTTTTCTCCTATTTTCCGCCTCTAAAACCTAGGGGCATCTTATGGTCTGAAAAATATGGTGTCTTTTATGTGCCCGGAATTTGGCTCAGTGTTTTACTTACATGATTGAAATTCTTACAACAGATTTACAGGGTTGACATTATTCTACTTGAGAAATATGGAAACTGAGCCAGATGATGTGTTGGTGAATGTTTAACCACTCCTTGGCTTAAACAACAGGTCTTGGTTTGTAGTATTTGCTGATTTCTGTGGTATAAATGCTCCCATGACGGCTGATTTCAAGGTACTGCCTGCCTTCAGATGAGCCGGTGAAGGGGACCTGGGGACGGACAGCTGGGCACAGTGGCCCCCCAGCGGCATCAGTGGGCTGCGGCACCCCACTGACTGAGGCTTTTAAAAACACAGTGACTTTTGTTTGATAAATCCCAAGTTCATCCTCATATCAGCCCAGTTCTAAAGACTGTATTCCCTGCAATTCTCCTTTTCTTTTTCTGGATAGAAAATAGCAGAGAACTGCCACTCAACCTGAGGCAAGCAGACTTGGACAAGCCAGAGAAGGAAAGAGAAGGGAGGGAGGAGGAGGAAGGAGGGAGGAGGAGGAAGGGAGATTTAAGAGAGAAAATTGAGAGCAACCGATTCGGACCACTTTGTAGGTGTGAAGAGAAAAGCCAGTTTTACTAAAGAGAGAACTCCAGTTTTATCAAAACAGGCAATAACCTGCTATGGTTTCATCGCTCTCAGGAGGACACACAGCATGCAGGAATGGTGAAAGCGGTTGCCACATCTTAAGTGCGGTCGTGTTCAGACTGATGATCTAGTCTTGTTCACACCAGTTCAACCAGTGACCACATCACCGCGCACGGAAACAGTCCAGGAGAGTAGCTAATGCAGACAGTGCGTATCCATCCCTTATTCTTAGGGCATAGAAAATGACCACAGTTTTCTGGGAGTGAAAAAGAAAGCCCAATAGACTCTGTTGTGCATTCAGCATTTACAAAATTGCTTGTTTATAAATAACAAGGTGTGGCCGGGAGGGCTTCGAGAGTTTCAGAGTACATCCAGCAGGACTGTTCATTCACTTGAACTTTTCAGAGGCTGATTATGAAATATTAATGTGGATACTCTACAGTAAAATACTATTAAATGTGGTTTTGAAATGTTTAAGGTGCCTGATTAAAAAGTTTTTCCATATGTTTATAACCAGTCATATAAAAGCCATGTATTTCACTGAACCGTTCTGTGTTATCTTAATGATATCTAGCTTCTTTCATAAAGCATATAAAGCATATAAAGTTTAGCCAAGTAGCAGTGACACACAATAAGAAAATGCATTATTAATTTCATAAATCTTTTCCCTTCTTGCAAAATTGCTACGACAAGCATGATATGTGAAAAAGAGGAAAAAGAAGGCAGAATTGCTATCGTAACCACAATTTTTAGTTAGTTTGCAACTAGAAGTATCTAAGATGTTTAATGCAAGAAAATATTAGATAATTGAAATGGGGACTATTATAAAAAAGAAACATCATTTACTCTGTGTAAAAACAAGCGTAGCTCACAACCAAAGGTACCAGTTGAAGCTGGAGAGAAGAAACCACTGACATTTAATTCTGCTGGCCAGTTTCCATAGCAGATAAAAAGTAGATACACATTCCTTCTAAGTTGTTGGATTAAGTGACATAATGTTATTCATAATATTTTCACATCCTTTTGGTGTCTTTAGATTCTGTAGCGATGTACCCATTTCATTTGTGGTACTGTATTTTTTTCTTGATTACTCTTATTAGAGGTTTTTGTTTTAATCTTTCCAAGCAACCAGCTTTTGTTACTGATGTACTTATAATTCCTTTAAATAAATTTTAATTATAGAATAGTTTTCAATTTATAAAAGAATTGCAAAGATACTGCAGAGTTCCCATATACCCCACAACTGTTTTCTCTATCAACATCTAACATTACTAATGCACACTCATCACAATTAATGAGCCCATACTGATCAACACATTATTGTTAACTAAAGTTCATACTTTATTCAGATTTCCTTAGTTTTTACCTAACATACTTTCTCTGATCCAGGATCCCATCCAGTATACTACATTATATTACGTTTAGTCATCGTATCTCCTTAAGTGCTTTTTTGCTGTGGAGGTTCCCCAGACTTTCCTTGTTTTTGATGATGTTCATAGATCTTGTTAGAGTAGCGTTTGGTTGTGTGTGTATTGACTTCTGTGTCCACACCTATCAATAAATAGCAGTGTAACTGTCTGTGTCTGTATAGGATGAAACATAAGTTTATATTGGTGTCTCCTCCTATCTCTCACCACGTGGATTACTCTACTTCCTTCCATGGCTTATTGGTCAAGTCTCACTCTGACAGCGAGAAACCTGGCTCCAGTCAGCCACCCATTTACCTAATTGCTCAACTCCAGTGTATGTGCAGAGGGTGTCAGAATCGTTAACCCAGATCCCTGTGGGAAGCAGCTTCATCAACTAAAGTATAGTGCTTATGTATAATTTCATTTGCTTTTAGTCTTACAGACTTTGTTAATATCCAAAGTTACTGAGGGTGGCACATCCCCCCCCCCTTCAGAGAGACTGTTCCACACATTTGTGTTAGATGTAGGTTTTTTAAAAATCACATTCTGCTTTAATCCTGGGATGCCCTGACTTCCTAAATGATGTAATATGTATTGTGAAGATGCACTCTTTTGTGCTGTAAAGTTCAATGGCTTTTGACAAGTGTAGAGTATCCTGTATTCACCATTACAGTATTGTTACAGAACAACAAGGGGGGACCAAAGGGCAATATACTATTGCCCGAAAGGACTCCCCCAGGTCCGTTATGTCCGCCACCAGAGGAAAGACATCTCTCAATGCCAGAGATTTGTGGAAAGGAAAGGAAATGTTTATTCAATGCTATACAGACTTAAAGTAGTGACCTAATGTCTTCATCAAAATCCCAAAGTCCCTTAAAACACCCACAAACACACACAGTCCTTCCTTCCCCCTTTGCCCAGTCTGGGGTACTGCATCTCAGGGAAAGAAACAGAAGTCTGAGGCTCAGGCAGCCTCCAGTTCTTCTCAGTAATCCGTCTCAGCTGGTAGGCCTCCCTCGGTTCCCGGCACCGTCAGCTGTGTCTCCGGGATCTCTGCTAGAGCCAGGTGGTGGTTCCCCCTTCTCAAGCTGTGGGGGTCCCCACTCTGGCAAAGCCACAAGGTTCTCTCTCCACTGCCCCAGCCACATGGTCCTCTCTGCACAGTGGCTGCGAGGAGGGGGGTCACCAGTCTGCCAAAGCCCAGTGGTGGTTTTCCGCTAAAGCCGCATGGTTGTCCCCTCAATGGCTGCTGCTTCTCGGTTTAAGTCCCTGCGCCAATCTTCCTCTGCAGCCCCATTTCCGACTCCTCCCACAATTGGCTACACCTGCCAGCACTCTCCAATCATTCCAGCTTCACTGGCTGCCATCCTGAGTCTGGGCAGGTGTGGCCCCAGGTCATGAGCCAATCATCTCCAAGCTCCCACACAGGCACTGTAACTCGGGGCACCTGCCCCCCAGTTATGTCTTGTCAGGGAAGTTACTTCCATTCCCCTGGCTCAGAGCAAGGCCACAGCTATTTAACACATCTATGTAACCAGTTAAAGGTTATAGATATGTTAAATGACCACACCAGAGGTTAGCTGCAAAGCTGTTGCTATGCAAAACAGCTCTCAATGGCCCTGCTCCATGTGTCCTATCCCCCAACCCACACCTGTGTGTGGGGGGGGTGGGGGTGAGGACATCTTAACACTTCCTGAACACCTGGAGTTCTGGTCCCCATTCCAAATCCCTATTTGGGGCCCCCCTCTTGGCTGCACCCTGTTATAATCCCTTTTTCAGATTTACACCCACTTTACAATCTTATAAAGGACAATGGATGAAGGTCTCATCTTCTTGTAACTACTTCCTGCTGGACATGGATGTTGTCCTACCTACCCGTGGGTCAGGGGTACCCTGAAAGGGGTGGGGTGCAGCACAGAGGGAGTCCTTCTTGTAAGGGGAATGACCTTACAGAATCCTGGTCAGTTGGCTGTCACCAGGCAGTTGGAGGCTTGGTGTCCAAAGGCTGGCATTACTGGACTGTTGGCATCCTGGTCATACTCTGGAGGTGACAGATTTGGGAAGAATTGGAAGAAACAGTGAAATTATAACCACTACATGACAAAGGCAGGGGCTTAGGTAAAGAATGGCTTAAGGAAGGTGTACAAGGCATGCTACACCTACCCAAAACCCTTGTGGCCCATTATACCTCACTCGGGCTGAGGGGACTATATTAGGATTTCCCTCCTTTCAGATATCTGGGCCCTTTCTGTCCAAGCCATCAAGGCAGAAAAGGGGAAATCATTTCTAAAGTGAAGCCCACAGACCGCCCAAACCCTTCAGCAACCCAACCACTCAGTTCAGCCAAACCGTTGAGTCTCGGGTGGCGATGATGAAAATGGGCTCCTTAAGTGAGGCCTATATTGCAACCAGTCACTCAGGCAATGGAGTCATAGGCATATGCCCGATGAAAACAGAAGAACACACAGGTTAATTCACGCAGCAATCCCCGAACAAGTGTCTGTGCCTGTGAGACTGTCTTTTGGGAAGACATTCAGTTGCAAGGCCCTTCCTGCAATGACATTTAACAATGGCAATTTGACAGGTCTTCCATACCTGTAAATTGTG